AGGAGAGATGGGGAGGGGGGACATAGAGATGGGGAAGGGGGAGAAAGGGGGGGCAATAAAGAGATGGGGAGAAAGAGAGGGAAGAATGAGACACAGGGGGAGACAGAGACAGAGAGGGAAGAATGAGACACGGGGAGAAAGAGGGGGAATAGAGAGATGGGGAGGGGGAGAAAGAGACAGAGAGGGAAGAATGAGACACAGGGGAATAGAGAGATGGGGAGGGGGGAGACAGAGAGGGAAGAATGAGACACGGGGAGAAAGAGGGGGAATAGAGAGATGGGGAGGGGGAGAAAGAGACAGAGAGGGAAGAATGAGACACGGGGAGAAAGAGGGGGAATAGAGAGTTGGGGAGGGGGGAGAAAGAGAGGGAAGAATGCCCCCCCTCCCCTGTCCGCAGGCACCGTGCGGGCAGGGGAGGAAGAGAGGACCTGGGAGCTCACCCTGCAGCTCCTCTGGGTCCTTCTTGCGCGAGCACAGAGCGTTGCCGCGGTTACCATGGCAACGTTACTGCTCTTGCGAGAGTCAACTCTAGCCCTGGAGCTACGGGCTAGAGTTCACTCTCAACACTGTAACCCCCATGGATTCCTGGTGGTCGCAGTGGTGAGAGTGAACTCTAGCCCCATAAACACACTGCCCCCACACACACACCATACACATTCACACACTGCCCCCATACACACCATACACATTTACACACATTGCCTCACACACACACATACACTGCCCACCCATATACACACAGACCCCCATACACAGCCCCCCATACTAACATTGCCACACACATACACTGCCCACACACCCTACACATTCACACACTACACCCCCACACACACACTGAACCTTTCACACACATTGCACCACTGCTCCTATTCCCTACTACAGCCTCATATCCCAGCAGACCCCAGGTAAGTTGTCAAACTGTTCTTAAACGGTTTGACTACTTACTCTGGAGCAGTAGTGGTTATTGTGCATGGATTATTTCTTTAAATAATCTACAAGTGCCCCAGTAGCCAGCCAGCCAACCCACAGGCTGGCCAGTAGCCAGCCAGTTAGCCAGCCCACAGGCCAGTAGCCAGCCCACAGGCCTACAGCAAGCCACAGGCTTACAGCCAGCAAGCCACAGCCTGCCAGCCGCAGCCAGCAAGCCCACAGCCTGCCGGCAGTAGCCAGCAAGCCCACAGCCTGCCAGCCACAGCCACAAGCCCTCAGACTGCCAGCCAGCAACAGTAATTAAGGTAAGAGGAGCCAACTTGGCTTAGGTATCAGCGAGCTATGTTGTGTTGCTATATTGTGAATAGGAACCAGAGTGTTGGAGAGACCATCCTCCAGGCCCCATTAGACTCTAGCCTCTGCTAGAAATCCCCTCCATGGCCCATTAGCCCTCAATTGTAGTTTCTACTGGGGCCTGGAGGTGACTGTTTCCAGCAGGGGATATCTAATGGACGCTGAGATGGCCTCTGTTAGAAAGACCCCCTTCCAAGCCTTTTAGACTCCATTGTAGTCTCTAATGGGGCTTGGAGGGGATTCTTTCTAACACACTCTCTAAAGGACACTGAGATAGCCTCCGCTAGAAAGACCCCCCTCCATGGCCCATTAGCCCTCAATTGTAGTCTCTACTGGGGCCTCGAAGGGCTTATTGCCCTTTTGTTCCTTGTGTCTAAAGATTGTGTAGGGTGTGGCTGGAGGCGGTGCATGGAGGCGGGACAAGGGTGGCGCTTGCTGCAGAGTATGGGTGGGGCCTGTAAGGGGGCCCTTGATTTATTTTGCCCGGGGGCCCTGAGGGTTCTCAGTCCGCCCCTGTGGAGGACTGAAGGTTCCCCACCCCTGCTATAGATAAAAAACATTTAAAGGGACAGTCTAAGATCCATGGATCTGGCAAGGAGAGTAGTCACTAAAAAGTAAAAGGTCAGCGCAGGCGGCACAGTTTCAAAGTCATGGACAATGCAAGGGTCATGTATCAGGTACACTACTGAATATTATAACAGGTTCATACAATATAACTGTAACAACTGAACACTGAAAGTTGTGTCAGTTTATACCATCAATCTCATATTTGACGCCAGGGTCTCAGTGTGAACAGAATGAAGCAAGATACTGTGTTATATGTACCAATGCGAGAACGAGGCTATGTAATCAGTCCATGTAACCAGCACAGTTTATTTACCGTTGTAAATGTTTGATGTAGTTATTTTATGATAAATGGTTTTATTTAAATATTTATTGTCCTGACTTTAATGTATTAATATTGTTCCTTTTTCTCTCTTTCCCTATGTGATTTTAAATATTTTTATTTTTATATGAAATGATAGAAGTGATTATTAGACATGTTTATTGTTTTTATTTACAGTAGAATTTTCATAAATTGTGATATGGAGTGATGTTTTTGTGTACTTACTGCTCTTGTATTAAGTGCATATCAAGTCGGTTTTTACTTTATTGCTGTGTTTCTGCCTGTCTATATTATAAGACTCAATTGTGAATAAAAAAAATGACTAGAAATATGGTGGAACGGTAACTTCTGATGCAATCGCATGTCAGATGTGACATTTTGAGGAGTGAGCCAATCATGATGCCGGATGCGGATGAAGTGACGCAGGATTACCGACATGACCCTGAATGCAGTGGTGTATTTTTGTTTTATGCT